AATGTGTACACCTCATTAGACCATTATTACGTCCTCTGCCATGAGCTCCCCCTTAATCTCGACCTCCAACACGTCCACCACCACGACTATACATGGGTCTACCACCACCACTACGACCATATATGGATCCACTACTACCACTACGACCGGGCTGAACTCCGAGCTCCACCTCTAACACCACGACATCTCCCTCTCGTCACTGCAAAAGCAGACCTGTCAGAGATATTAGAATTCTCTGTGGGCCCAACAGAAGTCCTCCGGAGAAGGGCAAACACCTCTTCTAGAGACGGAAGAGTTGACCCTCCTAGTATTTGTGTTCTCACTGGTTCATATTCAGATTTCAGCCTTACTAAAAATCTGGTCACATCTAGTTTTTCTCCCTATTGTTTTTGAATCTTAACATTAGAAGTGAGGGGATGGTACACATTCAACTCATTACAAATGTTCCTCATGCTAGCATAGTACTGCTAAGGACTTTGATTACCCTATTGCAGATTAAAGTACTCCTAATAAAGCTGATACACTCTAGTAGTATTGTCTTGTCTTGAGTACAATTTTTTGGCATGGTCCAAAGTCTCTTTCGCTGTATCTAGGAACATAAAATTCACATTGATCTTGCGTTCCATACTATTCCATAACCAGGTCATAATCTGTGCATCTTCTTGTTCCCAATCACTATACTCCTGAGAGTCAGCGGGAGGTTTTTCTTCTCTTACATGCTTCACTTTTTTCTTAGCTCTAAGAAAGACCTCTACAGATTTCGCCCAAGGCACATAATTCTCCCCATTCAACTTGATAGAAGTCATCTAAACATTCAGGTAGTTGGTGGGAACCATAACACTAGATTTGTGTTCACTACTGTCTCCCATATCTGAATTCCTTTTGTTTTTGTTTTTGTTTTTTTTTTTTTCCGTATATGAAACTTCTAAATCACTTTTCACCACACTGCACACTAGTGAAACCACCTACAGTCACAATTTTCAGCAATACCTGTCGCTGATTTCTTCACTTTAAGCACCGCAAAACTACCACACAACTACCTGAATACACACCATAGCACTAGCAACTCACCAACCACTTGATTCACACTGAAACACACATATGTCCCACCTATTTGATCACCAAAATCCAACCCGACACTCGACTATCCACTGCACCACCTGAAACAGCCCCCTTTGTACCATTGATTAGAGGGCTTCCTACAAACCACCACAAACACCCACTAAACCACTGACAGGAGGCATGAAAACCTCCAAAGGGAAAGGGCGACCACTCCTTTTTAGCGCTTTTCCCTATCTCCAACGGATGATGAAGAAAACTGTAAAACCCTAGGCTGAATGGTGATAGAACAGATCAACAGAATTCTGGGCAGATCTGATTTTGTCACAGTGGCTCTGATACTATGATAAAGTTCAGACCTGCACTAGAATTCTGTTAGAATTAGAAGATTAGGGGAGATAGAAGAGAGAAGAGAAGAAAAGAAAGGAGAAGGAGAAAACTGGTTCAAACAAGAGAGAAAAGTCACTCTCTCTAGTCGGCCAGGTTATATTTATATGTTTCTATTAACTAAAACAAAAGACTATTATGTCCCTACTCAAGTATGGGGCACTTCACATAACATACACATTACACATCAGCTTAAACATAAATAGAAAAACCAAACTACCTCAATACAGTCGACACTAACAGGTTTCATAGGTTTGGTTTGGTTTGGTTTTTTGGCTTTTGATGAGCACCTCTAGTGCCAATCACTCATTTACAATTTGTTGATGATACTATTCTGTTTTGTGAGGGAGATGATATTCATTGGGCTAGGAATTTGAAATTAGCTGTTCAACTTTTTGAGCAAATGTCGCAAGGTGCCAACCAGCTGGTTGGTAAGGTCTCTTGCTGGTCATAGTGGAGACTTGGGATCGAATCCTGCCTGTACCTAGGTTAGGGGATGGACTACCTCCTGTTGTGTAGCCCTTAAAAAGAAATAGAAAAACTTTTTGAGCAAATGTCAAATCTGAAAGTCAATTTTGACAAGAGTTGTGTGGTGGGGGTTAATATGGATGAGAGGGAGGTGTTAGAATGTGCAGATATTTTGGGACTACCTTTAGGAGATAATATGAGAAATAATAGTTTTTGAAACCTTGTGATTGATAGACTCACCAAGAGACTGGCATCATGGAAAAAAAAGGAACAAAACTCTCTTTGGGTGATAGGATTACTTTGATAAAGTCTATTTTGGTTGATTTGCTCGTCTATCTTCTATCTGTCTTTAAAATCCCAGGGGGTGAAAAGTTTGGAAAAGTTGATGGGGGATGTAGGAACTAGGGAAAGAGAAAAGGAACCATACAATCAGATGGGAGGTGGTTAGTAGAAGTAAGAATGTTAGTGGTCTAGGTATAGAAAATCTTCAAAATAGAAATGAGGCCCTATTGGGGAAATGGTTATGGAGATTGATAGTAGACAGGGATAAGTTGTAGGCTAAGCTGATACTAAGCATTCATGGGCTAGCGATTGATGGCTGGGATGTGGGAGTTTTGGCTAGGGCTATAAGAGCTTTACCTTGGAAGTCTATTAATGCCATTCTACCTTCCTTCCTACCTTTTGTTCTTTGAAGATCTTGTTAAAATTTGGGAACATATTTGGGTGGGGAACTCATCATAGAAAGAACAATTTCCTTGTACTCCCTTTCACTGTTTAAAGATGAGCTTGTGTCTACTTTTTTGGTTCCTTCTGACTCAAGCTTTGGGTTGTAGAAGGGGTTTCAGAGGCTTTGATTTAAACAATGCCTTGGCCTTGGTTCAAAATTTGGAAAGGGTGGTATTTTAGATCCTTCGATATTGGACAGCCGGATTTGGATTTTGTATTCCTTTGGTTTCTTTACTTGTGGCTTTCAAAGCTTTAGTTCAACCCTTTGATAGTCTTGAGCAGCCTTTTCTTGTCAAGGAAGTTTGGACTTTGGAGTAAACCGATTCCTCCCAGGATAGGAGCATTTTGTTGTGAAGCATCTGGAAAGGTGCAACACTTGTGATTTGCTCCAAAGAAAAAGACCTCATTGGTGCTTATCCCCTCATTGGTGCATCCTTTGTAAGGCTAATGGTGAGAATTGCTATCACTTATTAATCTACTACCCCCTTGTTTCATGTATTTGGGATTGGTTTCAATCTTTGTTTGGTTGCAGGTGTACCCTCTACCAAATGTACAAAGCTTGTTTGCTTCTTCTTCTGCCAGGTGGTCAAAGAAGAGGGGGAAAATCTTATGGAAATGTTCAAGAGTTGTTATATCCTGGACAATTTGGTTAGAAAGGAACCCAAGGTTTTTTCTGAAAAGGAAAGAAGTAGAGATGCAATTATTGAAGCCATTACTATCAGAGTGGTACATTAGGTGAAGTCTTTGGATATCTTTGAGGATATCTCTATAGATGTTTTGCTTAGGAATTGGAAGGAAGTGGCTAATTCAGCCTCCTTCAAAACTGTGATTAGCCCCCTTGGGTCTCCACCAGCTAATGGATTCACCAAGTTGAATTTTGAGGGAAGTAGTGAAGGAAACCTATGTCCTTCAGGCATTGGAGGAGTTTTCAAGGATGGGCTTTGGAATTATGCTAATGAGAAAAAGGAAGTTTAAGTGGCTGACCCTGGGTATGGAAATAAAAATGCAGTGAGTGAAAAGAAGTGCTAATTCCTCTGCTGTACACTTGCTAAACAAGGGGTGGGAAGGAATTGCTTGTTTTGGGCATTGTTGTAATCTTGAGTTTCTTTGTGGGGAGGGTTAAGAGGGTTTACCTCTCCCCTATGCTTTCTTGTATCTTATATATATATATATATATATATATATATATATATTGCTAAATTTAATTAAACTTGTAACAGAGATCGTTTCTATCTTTTTAATGATGCAGTTTGTTAGAACATACTATTTACATATTTTATAAATGTTAACACAATAAGATATACTATGGAAGTGTCTGTGCAGTATTTGGTTGTATTGGGTAACATTTGTGTTTGACACTAGTTCTTCTGTCCATGTATTTACATGGTTATGGTTATTTTGGTCGCAAATAATTAGGGGTATTGTTGTTAGGTCTGCAGATGGTACCGTTTACCTGAATTTGAATTCAAATTTGATCTGGTTGACAGGTTAAGGGTGATTTGAATTTGATCTGTTTATAATTGGATTGAATATGGATCCATCCTATCTGATACAATTCGATTTAAACGTATATGTTTATATATACTTAAACACTAAAGTTTATATTCTATCTATTAGTAAAGTTGGTTAGAATGTTGTGTTGTTTTGTTTTTACTAGAGAGCTATTGGTTCAAGTTTCATAAAATTTATTTTCAATATATATATATTTCATGATATGCAATATCAAAGTCATTTTTAGTTCATTTTATTCATAATATAATATTTTGATAATTTTTAGTTTAATTTATTAATGCTATTCAATATCTGATTTCAATCCAGATTTGATCGACTCCGAAGATATACAATTCAAATTTGGATGTACCTTATATCTGACCTAATCCAATTTGTTTGCAGCCGTAACTGTTGGTCTCTTTGTTCTTTATCTCTTCTGAGAATATTATAAATATAAGAGAGATTGTTTAGATACCTAACTCTCAAATTCATGCAATACCCTTGCTTATTTTTTGTACTAAAAAAGAGCCCTTTCTTAATTTTTTATTCCTTGGCTCTTATCTTTTTCTCTCCTTGTGTTTCCTTAGCTCTTATCTTTTTCTATTTGAGTCTTCAGTTAATTTTTTATTCCTTAGCTCTTATCTGCAGAGCTCTAACAAATTAACTTGATTTATTTATTATTTCATTTAATGCATATTCCCCTTCCCAATATATACCAGATGTTTATTTTCCTTTTTCTTGTTTCGTAATGATACTTATCCAAATATTAAATGTACCAAAGTCTATTTGGAACTGATGACCTTTGTGACTAATGAAATATATGAAATTTTTTGAGTATCATTTATGTGTTTGATAACTGCTGTTTGCAGGATACAAGTAGCAGATTATCTGGATTGAGGCAAGAGCTTGGTGCTCTGAATCAACAAATAAGGAGCCTAACAAAATCGTTCCATGCTTTTTGTAAGATGAAAGGAGAACCAAGCTGTGATGAAATGATTATGTTAGTTAATGAACAACTACAGAAGAGAAAAAGTTGCAGGTCTATCCGTAAGGACTCACAGGTATTCACCATTATTGTGGCTTTTCTTCTCACCAACTCAATATGAGTATCTCTTTTACAGTGATCTATTTGTTTTTTTTGTCTTGCAAACTTCAGCTCTGGGATTTGGAAGATCTGGACAGTAAGAGAGGATATCACAACTTTGTTCTCAACTATCACAGCTTCCTCATCCAGAGGTTGTTGAATTTAGCTGATTTCTTTGCCTTCTTTACCTAAGGTTATTGCAGTGTAACTAGGGCTTTATTTCTTGATACAGGTTTACCATCAACTGTAGTCCGATTTCAAGTATATCCATTTCCAATGAATTGAATGAAGCAAACATCTCAAATGTATGAGCTCTTTTTTCCCCCATTCAGAGCCTTTTTTCTCATCAATTGTTTCCTTCAATGACATGATTCTTTTGGTGTGTGAATTAGAGCTTCCCAAATATAAGTGCGTTCACAGCCTTTGCATTTGTTTTCAATGCTGAGGCTATTCGAAAGCATATCAGTCTGAAATGTTTGGCACAAGAAATACAAGTGAGTTTCTCTTACTAGATTTCATCTCAGAGGAGTGCTTACCTTAGTTGTTCACATATTCTTTACTAATCTATTACACTGACTGAACCTTATTTTAGTGTTCTGTCTGCACTTTTTTCTTTTGGAATGGCAGTGAGCTGGGTCCTCAGTGGTGTGGGCTGAGCAAGCATTTCACTTTTTCCATTCTTCAAGTTTGGAACATGATTTTAGACTTTTGGAATGGCAGTGAACTGGGTCCCGAGTGGTGTGGGCTGAGCAAGCATTTCACTTTTGCCATTCAAGTTTGGAACATGGTTTTAGAATCTGTGGTGTTTGAATTAGCACAAACTTTTTTGTTATAAAATTGCACAAGACTGTAGAGATGCTAGCATGTTGGAACTGTAGCATTGTTTTAGTGTATTGTGGATCCATTCCTGTCTCAAACAAGTATAAAAGTATTCTTTATGCCAGGGGATAGGAGCATGGGCTTCCTCTTCTCTAAACTAAGGAATAGAAAGAGGCATCTTTATGTGCCACCTCTATCAATCAGTAATAAAACAACATTTTCTTTTTCTTTTTTCTTTTTTCTGTTTATGCAGACAACCAATTCTCTTCTGGGTAATCTGCTAGATGTGATTGAGGAAGTACTGGTAGCACGGCTAGAGATTCCAAATCTAATTCAGACAAGATTTCATTCTCCTTGTGGTAATGTATTTGTATTTTTATCTCCCTCTTTCTGGTTTGTAAAATGACTGCTGTTTTTTTTTTTCACACATAATAATATTTTGAATATTCAAATACAAAATGACATTTTAATATTTTTTTTTGAAAAATAGGGTAGTTTGTACAAATACCATCAATAAATAAAAAGGACGGGGTCCAGTCATCAGCAATTCTGACTTGTTCAATAAAAATCCTTTTATCTTGATGGATTAGCCAATGATCAGTTTAAGAAGCAGAATATTATATATGATGACTAACAGAGTTTATGTTCCTTAAAGAAATCAACAACTTATTTGAGTCACCATATCTGCATCATTTCCAAGTTGGCTCTGGCTTTGAGTTGTCTAACCCATGTTCATATGTTTGCCAACTGGCTACAGTTAATTTTGTAATACATTCCAAGAAATCCTGATAATTGATCAGTCTAATCTTATTCTTATATATATATATATATATATATATATATATATATATATATATAAACAAGGAAGCCTAGAAATTTTCTCATTTTTCTCATTTTTTATTTTTTTTAATTCCATGCCATTTTTGAAACGACCAATGAGATGCACTTTCCCAATAACCTAAATAATCTATTCTCCTAAAATGTCTCCTAAACTACCTTCCCCACTATCCCCCACTTTCTCCGAAATTATCTCTAATTCCTATTTATCTCCAAAATTATCTCTAATTTATTTGAGAACTTCTCTCCTAAATTATATCTAATTCCTATTTATCCTCTCCCCTACTTTTTATCTTTATTTATCTAAAGAAAGTTTTGATTAATAAATTTAAGAATTTTTTAAATATTCTAACAAAATTATATAATAACTTTAAAATATTTATTAAAAACACAAAAAATAATTTTATATTTTTACAAAATATATCACGAAATTATTGACTAACAATTTAAATGATATTTTTCGGATTATCAATTTAAATGTTTTTCAAATGTTTAATAATATGTAATAGCTTTAAATAAATAAAATTCAAATAACGAAAAATTTTAAATATTTTATCGATTATTTAAATATTTAAATAAGTAAATATTTATCATAACTAGATTTTAAATAGTTAAAATTATGTAATAAATTTATAAAAATTCTGAAAAGTAGAAAAATAATTATAACATAATATTGAAATTAATAATAATTTAATATATTACAAAATTAATAATGAAATTATGTAATAATAGTATAAATTATATTTTATGGATAATTAAATTCAATAAATAATTAATATTTTAAATTTAAATATTTTACATATTATTTAAGTATTTAAATAACTAAGTATTTTAAATAAAAAATATTTAACATAACTAGATTTTAAATAGTCAAAATAAAGAAATTATGTAATAAATTTAAAAAAATTCTGAAAAGTAGAAAAATAATTATTACATAATATTGAAATTAATAATAATTTAATATTTTTACATAATATTGTAAATAACTAATTTCACTTATATCAAGTAATAATTCGTGAAAATAATTTTCAGAAAATTAATATGTATTAATAATAATTTTAAAATCTTAATCTGTATTTATTATATAATTATATATACTAAAATTAATATTTATTGTATTTTAGTAATTATTTTATGTTTTTTTGATAAATGTATTTTCAAAGGTTATGTATAAATTTATTTTGTTTTGTTATTTAATAGAAAACTTTCAATAATTATTGGAGATTAAACTACTATTATTGAAATTTTTAAATTTAATTTATTGTACTTATTGTATTTTTGTTATAACTTATTGATTAATATTTATGAGAGATTAAACTATTATTTGAGATTATACTTTTTATTGACTAAGTTAATATATTTTTAGTTCTTATTGTGTTTTTGTAATTATTGTTTTTTTCATCATCAATATATTTTCAAAAATTGTGTAGTTTAGCTATAAGTTTTCAATAATTATTGAAGATTAAACTATTGTTATTTATCAGAGATGAGACTATTAACTTAGATGAAATTATGAGTGTTCATGAGTTGATTCGGTTCGGTCGTAAACTATTTGACCAACCAAATCGACCTGGTTAGGTTGGGGAGTTTGTTAGCTGAAACCGACTGACCGTTTGTGAAAACTGACCCACTCAAGTTGTATCGGTTTGGCCGTTTGGGTCGATTTTTTGGTTTGGTCAGTTAGTTCAAAAGATTTAAACTTAAAAATTAAATTTAATTTTAAAAGTTACAATGCAATTATTAAAAATTATATTTAAAATATAAAACATTAATATATAACCATGGTTAGGTTGTTTGATTTTGATCAGTTTACAAATGTCCAAAGCGAAACTGATCCAACTTGGTCAAATTGGGAAATTTTTGAACCAAATCCAACCTAAAATTCTAGAAAACCGACCAACTTGGGTCGAGTTGATCGGGTTGGTCGGTTTCATCAGTTTGATGAATAAACCTAAATAAAACTAATTATTGTTATTTTTGTATTATAAAAAAATTATTAAAAGTAGTATATAATATATGAATAATTATTAATTTATTAAAGAGTTGAAAATATAAAACAATTGTATACTCTTATGTGTTTCTATTAGGGTAATTTACTAGAATACACCTTATAGTTTTACATATTTACTTAAACCTACCTTAAGTTTTCATTTTACTAAAACATCTCATATATTTTACAACTTATTTATTTAATCAACATTTCATTAAGGAGTGTTTGTTTTTCTATTAGGCCATGGTTTTTTATTCCAAAAATACCCTAAACACTTTTTTTGTACAGAAAACAAAATTGACCAAATATAGCCAATAGAGTGGTTGTCCGTGTCTTATTAAGGGCAAAAATGGTATTTTTATTTTTAATTTTTTTGATTAAATTTATTTAAATGAACATTAGGGTCAACACTGTCATTTTCCACTATCATCTAATGGAAGATTGATTAAATCCATTGCAAATTATAAGTGGTGTTTTAGTAAAATGCTAACTATAGGGTCGATTGTAGTAAATCCATGAAACTATAAGGGGTACTTTAGAAAATGACCCTTTCTATTACTTAGCTTTCGCTTAATAAATACTATGCATCGCACGGGTCCCTGCTAGTATCTATATATTAAACTGGGCCTACCATGTCAGCAGGCCTCTCCTTTCTCATTAACTCCTTTGATTATCTTTCATTAATCATTCCATTAACTCTCTCCTCTAACTCTATTAATTTTCTCTCCTCTCAATTACTCCATTAAATTGTTTAAAATTCATTGACTCTTTTTCTTTTTCTTTTTCTATTTCTTTACTTTCCTATTTTCCTATTTTATTTTTTATTTTATTCTCTTTCCTCATTAATCTAATAAACCAAAAAAAATTCGCCTAGGGGTCATTATTTCAATCCAGCCCAGGCCTGAGCTTGCATCAGGCCCACAAATTCCAGGGCCAAGCTTGGGCCTAATACTTCAAGGTTGGTGTGAGCCCAACACAATCCGTAAACAAATAACGGTTTAAAAGTTTAATAAAAATATCATAATAGTTAATTCACCTAAAAATAATGAGAGAAAGAGAGAATTTTACCCATCAAAATTCCCTTTATTTGTTTTATATTCAAATTCTATTTTATTGGTTAATTGTTAGAAAATTATCATTTGAAATCTAATAAGTAGAATTAATAAAAAATACCAAAATTTAGCAATTCTTATCTATCAACTATTCAAAAATTAGGAAAGCAATAAAATTAGTAGTTTATAAATTAAAAATTAAAAACATTTGAATTCTATTTAAAAATAACTAATTTACCATGATAATTAAAATTAATAATAAAAATAAAAAACAAACAATTTGCATTCCATATAAAAATTAATTAAAATAATAAAACTAATAACGACTCAAGTAGAAATGTCATGACAATCCTACTTATGGATGACCATTTATAACTTAGCTCAACCCAGTTCTAACCCCGCTTTGTCCTTCATCCCAACATAAAGTCCTCGTGGATTAAGAAAGATGTATTAATCATGGCTTTGAAAGACATGGAAAGCATTTCTCATCCAAAGGAAATGAAAAAAAAAAACAAAAAAAAAGTGCTAAATGCCCCATTTGTCAACTCAAGCATCTGAAATCCATGTCAAAAGAATATTTGAGCCTCCTATTATTAAACCTATAAATTTCTAGGCTTGAGCAACTATATTCTTGCTAGTTAGGCCTAGGTTGGATCTACACCAAGCCCACACATAATGTAGGCATTGGGTAGGGCCAAAGCTAAGCAACCCCAATGCTTGACCTGGAAGTTTTATACATGTATGGTAAATATTATTATATAATATTTAAGATAACAAATTTTATATTAATATATAGATAGAAAATTATATATATTTTTATAATATACTAAGATTAAATAAAAAATTTAATTTGTAAAAAATCATAGTTTTATAATTAACATGGGCAAGCTTGACTCTATCCCAGGTCCAGACAAATATTATTATGCTTTGGGTGTTGTCCGAGCTGGACTAGGTAGCCTTAAAACCTATTAATACACTATCAAAAGTTGGCTTGAGATCTTTTATTTTATTTTTTTAGTTCATTGGGCTATTCAATGGGGTAGCCCATCCCCCATAGCTCCTTTAGCTACAATAGTAATAATTTTTATCTAAAATAGTTGAAAAATCCAAAAATAATACATGCATGGGTTGTACTCAGTTTGGTTTAGTCCAATTACGAATGTCACATTGCTCTTACGGGTTCAACTTGGGCAGGTTGGGTTATGTTGAGGATCAACCCAAGCCCAATCTGAAGTCTTGAACCCCAAGCTTGGGCTTAGATTAATTTAATTATGACTGAATAGTTAATCTATAAATATTTTAAATATTGAAGTAATATTTACAAAAAAATGGTAATGTTTAATCATTAATAAAGTAAAATAAATAAAATAGAACACTAAAAGATAATATGGAAAAATTATTATTCTATTAACCAATTAACAATAATTTATTATTTTGTTAAAAATCATTGATATAATTAATCCACCCCATAGCTCCTTTAGCTACAATAGTAATAATTTTTATATAAAATAGTTAAAAAATCCAAAAATAATACATGCATGGGTTGTACTCAGTTTGATTTAGTCCAATTCCGAATGTCACATTGCTCTTACGGGTGCAACTTGGGCGGGTTGGGTCAGGTTGAGGATCAACCCAAGCCCAATCTGAATTCTTGAACCCCAAGCTTGGGCTAGATTAATTCAATTATGACCGAATAGTTAATCTATAAATATTTTAAATATTGAAGTAATATTTACAAAAAATGGTAATGTTTAATCATTAATAAAGTAAAATAAATAAAATAGAACACTAAAAGATAATATGGAAAAATTATTATTTTATTAACCAATTAAAAATAATTTATTATTTTATTAAAAATCATTGATATAATTAATCCAAATTACTAAATTACTAAATTGTTTTTTGTTTTCTTATAAAAATATAAGCATGCATGTTATAACTTCTCTTGGCTCATTTGTTTACAGCTGAAAGGCTAGATCTGGAGCTCTGCTTCATTGATTTGAAAACAGGGAAGAAGGTTACTTCAACACTTGACATGACTTATTTGAATCAGTAAGCTTTCTCTCTCTCTCTCTCTCTCTCTTTATATATATATATATATATATGGTATTTTGCACTCCCTTCAAACATCTTGGGTGTTTATAAATGGTAAGAGAGTTAGAGGCTCAGAAAGCATTAACATGAGGCGTACCACCCTTTCTGCCTCTAGGTTTCATTTTGGTTGCATCTAATATATGTCCTGTACTAGATATCTGAGATGAATGGATTGTCCTACCAACTGGATTGATTTGGTCTTGGTTAACGTCGTTCAGAAGCTCAATTTTTAGGATGTTTTCCATGCATTTGATCATAAACATATATGTTCTCATTTATTTGTGTTGATAAATGTTTGATCACATGCACACGTGTTTGTCGCACCATATAATCATGTAGTGCATGTATGCAAGTTTTTCCATCTAAAATGTCAATATGGTTTCCATTACCACACCTTGTACGTTGGGTGTGGTGATAGTTGGCCCCGGAACTTTAATTTAGGACAAAGACCCCACTTTCTAACACTTTGCCTCCTCCATTAGCATTCTGTGAGTGAACTTCAAAAACCTCCTTGACTATTATGTGTTTGTTAAACATTTCTAAATATCTAAACTGCCTTTTCCTTAATTTTTGGGACCATTTTGCCCTTCCTCTCTCATATGAATCTTGAAAGGGAATTTTAGTAAATTAAATTCTTATGTTAAGCCAATTAATGGAGACAGTGCAAAGTGTTGGAATCTGAAAGTTGAAGGGGTCTTTGTTGCAAGTGAAAGTTTGGGGGGCCTAAGTGACACTTGCAGCACAACAAAGGGTAAAACTAAATTTTGATGGAAGCTCCATGGGTAATCCAGGACCCTTGGGAGCTGGGGGAGTCTTTAGGGATCGGGAGGGCAGAATGGTAGCACTATATACTCTGGTCCCATAGGAGTGGGAGACTATGAGAGCTGAAATTTTGGCTCTCCTACAAGGCCTGAGATTTGCTAAGCAATGGGAATTTCAGAATTTGGAGGTGGAAGGGGACTCTAAATTATTAATAGGGTGGTTGCAAACAAAGAAGTTGGGTGTATGGAAGTTTAGACAACAAATAAGGGAAATAATCTGCTTGGCAAGGGAAGTTGGAGTAACATTCAAATGGATAAGGAGATCGGCAAACTCTGTGGCAGATAGCTTGGCAAAACAGGGGACATTCAGGGAAAATTTTTTTTGGGTTGCACTGTAACTCTTGATGTTATTTTGGGGTCAACACTCTTTGTCTGAATGGTTGACAGTGTAAGATGTTTATTTGATATCTGATAGTGTGCGATCTAGATATTCCTAGCTAGAAGACGATCCGATCTCCAGTTGCACGACGAGCTGGACCAATTTGCAGAATAGTAGATCAGAGAACCCGGGGTAGCTAACCCGGCGAGGTCGCTCCGATGCTTAAGTCAGTACTTATACTGTGAATGCGAGCTTGAATGTTAGTGAGTAAAATAATCATGCGTACTCTTTTTTCTCCTCTCTGGGTCTTTGGGGTTGGTGCCTTTATATAGGCATTGTTCAGTGTGGGCCTCACGCACTGCATCCGAGATTTTTGGGAGATCGTGCCTAACCGGTCCGAAATCCTTGGAGGTAAACATCATGCACGTTGACCACCCTCCGGAACATTCGGTACGTGGGCCAACTTCCAAGAATCGTGGGAGTGTTGGGATATGCATGTCGAATTTGTCGGCGAGCATGTCTCGTAGGTCGCCACTTGGACCTCAGGCCCGCATGCCCTTGAGGGAGGTTGGTCCTTGCGTTGAGGTCACATCAGCTAGTGACGAGGTGTTGTAGGTCGGCCCTGGATGATGTGCTTCTAGCCGACCTGAGTTGTGGTCGAGGTCGCTACGTTGGTGGTGAAGGCAGGTCACTAGGTCTGGGCGAAGAGAAACCACGATTTGGGTCTCCAAGTCATTGCTTAGGTGGTGTCTATGTGTCAAATAGCTGTTCCAAGATGCCATGTGTCATGATGTCATTGGAGGGCCAAATCTGCCCTCATCAATTGCCCCCACTCCCGAGCTGAGAGTAGCTCGGCGAAGGGAGGAGATTGCTCCTTTTAGCCTAAGATGACTGATTCGATCAGTTCGTAGTCGCAAGCATTGGTCTGATTTACTTCTCAAATCGGAATAGTTCGAGTGTTTGCTGCCTTACGCAGGACCTTGCTGTCTTGATTCTCGGGGCACGAGAGCGAACTCATCCTCTCGAGGAGAGGTCAAGCAGGTACCCCGAGGGCATCTACCTTATTAGGGATGTAACCACCGTCAAGGGGTTCTGCAATCCGACCATTACCTCGAGAACGAAGCTTACCATGTTGTCCTCAAAGGGGGGTTCTAACTGCGTGACTGCTTTATTAGGTTGCTCCACCTAGGTAGACTTCTACGCAGTGTCACTCGAACTGGTTCTCAAAAGAGTAGCCAGTGAGTTTGACACGGAGCCTAAAACCGAGGTAGAGGTCTACTGTGAAGAGATCAACCAAGTTTGCGTTTGTCATGGTGCCCAATTGGTATGCCGAATAGGTGCTGTATTTTGTCCTCCACTCCATTGCGTAAAGGTTTTCTAAGTGTGGATTACCCCGAAGTGCCAAACTGTATGCACACCGATGAGGCTAAATGCGAACTGCTTTTTATTTTGCCCATGCCAAAGAGGCGACTAGGTATATGCCCGAGCTGACGTGGATAAGTGTGGATTACTAACGAAGTGCCGGGCTGAGGAGCTAGGCTCTAATAGGAATAACCCGATCTCAATGTACGCCGAAGTGAACAGACATTGTAGGGTATGTGCCTGTCCTACCTGTGCACAAGCTACTTTTATATTTGCCCATGCCGAAGAGGAGACTGGGTCTCATGTGGTGCCGAGGTCTTTTATCAGCTCGACACCTTAGCCCTTGAGCTCTGGGAGCGACTCGCAGTCCACTCTCCTTATCCTTATTTAGCCGACGTGCGACCTGACATTTCCGCCTAAGCGGGTGGTCATTCTGTAGTAACTTCTCATATGGTTGCTTCTACGTCATCCCGTGGGATTATCTTCTTGGGTGAGTGCTTGCGAGACCACAATGTACATGTTCTGCCCCCCTTGCGAGGGCATAACGTTGTCGGTGTGAGTCGGCAATTCAGGGCCACGGTTGCACTGCATCAGCCTCGTTAGTGACGCCGATCATCCACTCCTACAAGAAGCCACTGGGAGCTCAACCTACGGGGGCAGCACTACTGACTTTAGGTCACCAGTTCGCACGGGAGCCTTGGAAGGCTCGACCTGCAAGGGCGTCCATGCAGTCTGTTGGCCGCCAACTCCCACGGAAGCCACGAAAAGCTCATCTTGTAGAGGCGACCTTGCGAAACAGGGCTGATGAGGCCTTGTCCTGGTTGACTGCTATTGAGGATGAGTTGAGGATGTTTTGTTGTTGTCTACATCGGGCTTCTCCCATGCTCAGATCTGGAAATTCATACTTCATCTCATAGAACAGCAACGCTTCAATCCCGGTGGGAACCACAGATGGCTCTACCGCGGGGAGAGGGGTGTTCACATACAGTAGCGATGTATTTATCTAGGGCATTGGGGATGTTGACTTTGGCTTGAACTTGTCTGCTTGTCACAGGGGAGTTCTCTAGGTTCATCATAGGTGTTTTTGTCCCCCAGTAATTGGTATTCGTTCTAGGTGTTGATGCTGCTCAAAAGTGCCTTTGAGTTCATAAAAAATGGAAATTAGAAAGTGAGAACTTTAGTTTCTAAAATGTGAGATATTAGCTTTCTGGAAGAAGAGGACTTAGCCTTTTAGAAGGTGAGAACTTAGCTTCTTGTAGCGTTTCCCACAGACGGCACCAATTGATAGTGCGCGATCTAGATACTCCTAGCTGGAAGACGATATGATCTCCAGTTGCGCGACGAGTTGGACCAATCTGCAGAATAGTAGATCAGAGAACCCGGGGTAGCTGACCCGGCGAGGTCGCTTCGATGCTTAAGTCGGTACTTATACTGTGAATGCGAGCTTGAATACTTGAGTGCTTGAATGCTAGTGAGTAAAATAATCACGTGTACCTCTATTTTTTCTCCTCTCTGGGTCTTTGGGGTTGGTGCTTTTATATAGACATTGTTCAGTGTGGGCCTCACACACCGCATTCGAAATTTCTGGGAGATCGTGTCTAATCGGTCTGAAATCCTTGGAGGTAAACATCATGCACGTTGACCACCCTTCGGAACATTCGGTACGTGGGCCAACTTCCAAGAATTGTGGGAGTGTCGGGATATGTATGTCGAATTTGTCGGCGAGCACGTCTCGCAGGTCGCCACATGGACCTTAGTCAGGCCGGCACGCCCTCAAGGGAGGTCGGTCCTTGCGTTGTGGTCATTTTGGCCAGTGACGAGGTGCTTCTAGCTGACCTGAGTTGTGGTCGAGGTCGCTAGGTTGGCGGTGAAGGCAGGTCGCCAGGTCTGGGTGAAGAGAAACCACGATTTGGGACTCTAAGTCATTTCTTAGGTGGTGTTTATGTGTCAAATAGCTGTTCCAAGATGCCATGTGTCATGATGTCATTGGAGGGCCAAATCCGCCCTCATCAATATCCTTAATGAAAGTTACCGTTTCCAAAAAAAAAATCTATAATTTACCCTAATAATATGAGGTTTACCATTCAATGGCTGTCATCTAGCCCTTTGTTGCCAACATTAAGGTTGTAACTTGGGTTGGGCCACCTGAACCTGTGATACTTGGTTACCTATACATATCTAGTGTATTGGTATGTACTTTATAGCATAACACTTCTAAATTATGTAAAATGGCATGTTTTGACAAAATATTCTATAAATAGAGATGCACATGTTAGAAACTTTGTTAAATTTGGCAAGAACAAGTCTTGAAAAATGACATTTGGCTTAAAAAATTAGACAAATTCATGGCACAAGCATTTAACATGGGATAACACAAGTCTTGAAGATGATTGGTTTTGGGAAATGCAGACCTGTTTCCCGTACGTGTCCATATCCTTATATGGGCATCCTAGATCTGAACCTAACCCAACTCAACCAACAAAAAAAGGGTTGTGCTGAGGATAAGGTTAGGGTTGAACTGTTGAAGACAGCTAACCCAATATAAAGTTTGGTTGGTGGTTCAAAATATTAATACACCTGATGTGCACGAACATGCGTATAAGGTGTTTTGGGTGGATTGAAAAGAGTTCGGCTTCAGTCGGGGCTGTCTTGCATCGAGAGTATGTCCATATTTGTGTTTTATTTCATGGGAGATATTACGAATGCAAGGTTGGAAAAGGCTGTTAGAATGGTGTGGGCACAAGTTTGCCCTTATGGAAGCTCTCGATCGAAAATTAATTTTTTATTATTTTTTCACTTTAATATTTTTACAGGGAATGATAATATTGTTATTTAACATTTAAAAACATGACATTTTGGAAAAGCCTCGTGGACTTGCCAAAATGATATGATCTGCCCAAAACGAGGCCTATTGTATTGGTTGGTACCAAGGTTCTAAATATCGACACAGACTGATACGTCGGTAGGGCGTATCGGCTTGTATCGGTGCCTTTTTTTTATGTTTTATTTATTTTTTTCAAAACCGGTTTAGAGGGGTTGGTTAAGTCTCAATTACCCTCTGAACCATGATCTGACCTGATACAATCCCTGTAAGGGCATATTGGGAAGCTCCCAGCACAATAAGTATTGGCCAATACAGGCCGATACGTATTAATATTTTGAACTTTAATCGGTATCTTGAACCTTGGGTCAGGTTGGATTAAGGTCGATACTTTTAGCAACCTGAACCTTTGTGTTACACTTGTAATTATATATTATTGTAGATGCCCAAAAAATTTATTCTTGTACATTATGAATGATAAATGCATTTATCTATATTTATTTTAGGGGACGGTGATAAATGGTGGTTTATTGTATAATATTGCTACAATAAGGTATGATGCTTATGCATCATTTTCATTTTAAAGGTCTGCTCCATGAATATGATGGTATGTATATGTGCATTTATTTGTAAATTCGGTAGGTAAAGTTAGAACCTGAATGCAACCCAACTAACCTGATCTCATGACCAGGTTTGGTTAGGCTTAAGAACGTCATGTCAATGATGATTCTGGATCACCTGCCCATGAGAACTCTGCTGACGTCTATTAGCAACACATTACCTCTGTGAATTGGGAATATCTTCCCCTGCATAATGCTATGTAGGAGGATGAAATGTTCTCTTTGTGTGGCTGCGATGTTATGTGGGTAAACGTGGACAGAATTTATGTGGGCAGGAGATCTGGACTTGTCAATGATAACATTGTGTTAGCGTTATGGTTAGGATTGAGGTTTCACTTACACTGGGTTATCAAAAGAAACCTGAACCCAATCCAGTGTACCCCTATCCAATGTTTTCGAACTACCGTTGACCCGGATGGCCACACCGTTCGGCCTGGGAATCACTTAGGCAACCAGTTCTGTACTTCTGTTTTACTCTGAACTTGGTCTTTGACAAAAAAATGTTAAATCGGTCAATGATTCATCGACTCAAATGGTCAAACTGTCAATTCATTCAACAATTTTGGTCGGTTTTTATTTTTAAATTTTTATCAGAATAGTCCATATGTTTGAATGGGATGATCGAACCATTGACTTAGGAACTGGTGGCCATTCAATGGGAATCGTTTAGTTCCTGTTCCGGATTGATTTTTAAAACATTGCCATTTCGAAGGTTGAAAGTATCGACACGCTTGATACTCTTTCGAGTATCAAAATAATTATGACTTTTATTTTAATATTAGTCTTATATTAACATGATTTTTATTATTTAAATCTATTAAATTCTTTCACCTCAGTATGTTGTGCAACTAAAGTGAGACTCATCGAACCTTGGGTTCCCTGCCATACGAAGGTGACCCACGTAGACATATCTGATGTTTAGGTTGTCATGCTCATTCTGACATCATAATAATCCCACCCTATGATCATTGGTGGTAATGCCATCCAATTGTTCTGAATTGACACTTTATTTATTTGTTTTTCTGGAACAGCGGGATATATCCTTCAGATCTACTCCCATCACAGCTGAAGACTCAGGGCTCTGGAAAACAAAGAGTCCAACAACCACCACCACCTCTCTCAGGTGAAATTACTACTGCACTTGGGAATCTTAAAGTTGGCAGCTCAAGGATAATAAGGCTTTGTAGGTGTATCTCGCAGATGGTTCAACGTCAACCATAAACAGGTAGTAACATTTGGAGCTCAACCTTCCATTGAGCCCAGCCACCATCAGCATAACCGTGCCATAGTTCATTCCGAATGTAAATTGCATTTATTTTGTAGAATTATCACCCAAACGTTTCTCTGTTTGGTCTTGTTCACGCTTGTTTTTGTGAAAGGCTATGTGCTCAAGAACTCGAGAATCTCGAGATCAAATACGTTCTTGGGCAGCTGAATTCCGTTAGCCAATCGATCAAAGCTTGAGATATTACCAAGAAAAACGTATACATTGAAGAAATGACTTAAAACAGGTCTTCGCAAAATATCTTGGTGGTTTATAATCGTTCTTAATTACCCCATAGACTGTCCAAATTGCAGATTAAAATTCTCTGTTCTTTAGCTTCTCTTACATCATGGGTTAAGGCATATAGGCTTGATAAGGTTTTTTTTTTGGGTTTAAGTTGCTCCCAAGAAATTTCTTTATCAAGTGAGATACTGAGTTTTTTATTTTTTGATAATTTGGAAAAAATGTGGGACACAGCCCTGGGGTAGCCCTCCCCCACACAGTCTTTAAGCCACGCCCAAGAGAATATTATTTCATGAGATGTTACTCTAATAATCAAATTTTAGCATTTGTTGGGAAACATCCACCAAGGCAACAAAGATTACTTTAAGCATAAAAAAAATGTTACTCAGATAAGCAATTAAGATTGGCATAGTGGTTAATTAATTTTTGTTGTAAGGAAATGATTAGGGTTTGAAATTTTTTACCTTTGGTTTGCAATGTTTAATAAGTCATTTGACTTAAATAATATTTAATGACGTATTAAATACCTTAATTAAAGGTAACTCAAATGAGTATTTGATTAAATAATATTAGTATTTAGTGACATCTCAAATTTAAAGGCAATTAAAATTGATATTAATGAGAGAGAGATAAGAGATGAATTAAATTTAAATTTGAATTTAAAAAGAGAGGGAAATTAAATTTGGCTGATACATAATGCATATTGCTTGTATCGAATCGTTTTGGGATTGTATCGGCCGACACATACCCGAAACAGTTCGATACGAGGCCGATACAAACCCGTATTGGTCTGATATGTACGAAAATTTATGAAACTATCTAATTGTACATGTTCTGTGTATCGAAACTCTTCCGAAACAATACAAATTAGGCCGATATTTTGCGAAATTTAAAACCTTATCTCTAAAAAATTTGAAAATATTGCATTTATTAACGTCGATCTCTAAGGTGAGGTATGTTATGGAGAGGTGTATTTTGATGCTTTTAAGACGTTATTCACTTTAGGAGAATATTATTTCATGAGATGCATTCTAGTATGGTGTATTCCTATGAAGTGTACTTCGGTGAAGTTTTTCTTCCGAGGAATATTATTTTTTCTAGCATAAATCCACTGATGTCCCAACCCGTTCAATTTCACCTATGGCATTGTCCAGTCTATCAGTTATTGGAGGAGAACATTTATAATCACACTTTTTTCAAACCACAGTCAAATAGTGGGGGCGGGGCATTTATGGATGATTTTAAATTTTGATAGGGTGCCATTTTCTAACTTATGTGTAGGGATGGTTTGCCCGCTATTTAAATACATTTAATGAGCACTTAATAAATATTTTCCTGCAAGCTGTTCAACCATTTTGCAACTACCACTACTGGATCTAATCAACCATTCTATTCTTTTTTGTTATTTTTATTTCTGTAATCTTTTAGATTTAATTCTTGTTCGTTTCTCTATTTTGCAGATCTGAATTAGTTCGGTTCAAGGCTAAGGTGTCCCAAGGGGTTCGAGGGTTGTAGAAAGGACAGGAGGGGTTTCTACAAGCTGTCTGGCCGATCTGTAGCTACCATCATCGGATTCAGATTTTGGATCATTTTTTTATTTATTTCTTTTATTTCCTTTGTTGATTCTTATACTTTATTAAATTTTGATTTTTATTTATTGTCTTGTTTAAATTTGAAATATTTAATTTCAGCAATAATAGATTTTATTTTCATATTTTCTGCCATTCCTTATTGCATTGTCTTGTCCGGATCTAAGTATATATTAATTTTTCACTTGCTTCCTTGTGAATACGACCCGTTCTCACCCATTTACTACGTTAGTAATTTTTTGAGAAATTGTAAAAATTATAAATGCTTAAACTGGTGTTCTGGAGTGTTTAACGACGCGGGACTACGGGACAGAAGAGAAGAGAAGAAAAATTGGATTGCGTTTCAGGTGTAGTCATTCCATTTTACTTTTGATTTTTTTATTTTTATTTCCGAACTCTTTTTTTTGGTTAAGTAGTGATTTTTGAATTTTTAATTCATTTTTTTAGATCTGATTTATTTATTTATTTTTAGTATTATTTTTCTTCCATTTTGTTTCTAGATCTATTCTTCTATTATTATTTTAATTTCTTGTTCGATTTTTTTTGCTTTAATAGGTTTGTGTTGTTCTTTTATTTCAGATTCAAAAAAGAAATTCATTTATTTTATTTTATTTTATTTCTTGCAGCATAATTTTCTTTTGTTTATTTTATTTTTGATTTACATTTTTTAGTCATTTTTTTCTTTTATTTCAGATAAAAAACTATAAAAAAAACAAAAAAATATAAATAAAAAATTTTCGTTTATTTTATTTTATTTATTTGTGCATGGTATTTTTCTTTCATTAATTTTATTTTTGTATAAATTTTTAGATTTGTGTTTTTCTTTTATTAAAAAAACGAAAAAAATATAAATAAAAAAATTTCAACATATTTTTTTCTTTTGTTTATTTTATTTTTGGTTTAATTTTTTTTAGATTTGTATTTTTTTTTTTATTTTATCTATTTCTTACATAGTTTTCTTTTTGAACATTTTATTTTCAGTTTAACTTTTAGATTAGCAAATAGTTTGTTAGTATTTATTTTTGGTAGTTAATTCTGCTTAGCACAATTAATTGTTGTTTTATTTTCTGTTTGCAATTATTATTTGTTGCTTTATTTAATTTCTTTTATTTTAGTTATTTAATTGAATAATTAATGTTAAATAGGAAATTATTTAAATTTTTGAATTTGAATTTCAAATTTCGAAATTTAAATTTAAAATGCTTAATTTCAAAAAAATATTGAAATATAAAAAGAATATCGAAAAGAATATTAAAAAAATAGTTAATATTTTAAAAGTTTTGCATTTGCATTATATCTAGGATTTTATATGTTTTAAAGCATGCATCATATAGGATTATTTAATTGCTGAAATTATTTTGTTAGTTATGAATGTGCTAGGTTTCTTTTTATTTTAATTGCTTCTTGTGCTTAGTTTATTTTATTCTTTTATGTTATATTGCTAAATTGCATTTTAGAAATAATTGTGCATGCATTGTAATTAGTTGCATTTGCTTTGTTTATTTTGTTTTTTTATGTTAATCCATTCTAAGGGCATACAACTTAAATAAGATAAGGTGGGGATTTCATCACCCTTCCTTGGCCCAAAAAAATCACCACCCTTCACGTGCGGTTCACCCTAACCCTAATTTAAAATTTGGATAGCAAGATCTTTAAGGGAAGCCTTACACTTGGTTCAAATGTGTGCTGAATTTTAGGAAAACTTATAATTACTTTCCGTAACCGACGGTTGGTGTCTAAGGAAAGAGGTTAAACAGCTACCCCTAAGCGGGTTTGTGGTTGCTGAATTAGGTCCTTGTGAGAGCAAAGAGAGCCTCCCACATCCCCACCTCTTACCTAACTAACCAAAGGAAGTGGTGTAATTCCAAGTGAACCTAAGATGATTCACATTGGTTGAACCATTAGTTTAGGAAACCCTAGGTCAGCCCCTAGGCCGTGTAGTTGATTTGCTTGCATTTCTTTTAAATTTAAAAATTCAAATTTGATTTTAAATTTCAGGAATTTGAATTTAAATTTCAAATTAGAAAAAATAAAAAATAAAAAGTAAATATATAATAAAATTTTAAAAATTCAAATCTGAATTTAAATTTCAAAATCTAGATTTGAATTTAAATTTCAAAAAAAGTTTAAATTTTGAATTAAAAAAAATCAAAATTGAATTTAAATTTTAGGAATTTAAGTTTCAAAATCTAAATTTGAATTTAAATTTCAAATAAAAAAAATCAAAAAATAAAAAAAGAAAATAAAAAATTTAAAAATTTAAATTTGAGTTTAAATTTCAAAATCTAAATTTGAAATTAAAATTCAAAATTTAAACTTCAAATTTCAAGAAAAAAAGAAGAGAAAGGGGGGGGGGTTAAAACAAAATAAGAGAAAATGAATTCAATGGCTGGAGTTTGTGGAATGAGAAACTACTTCCAACCTGAGCCACAAATTGATTGGAACCATGTGTCTCGACAACTGACAAGATTAATGGTATGGCCCAAAGACTTGACGAAGTCCTTGCACGTCGTTAACAAAGTGGCCCATACCCAGCCTTGTCATCCTACCCATCATGTTCCATTTGTCAAAGCGCGGCCCATCATTTTAGCCAGTGCCCTGCGGTGGGCCCATGTCAACCAGTCAATCCAAACCAAGTACATGCAGCCAACAGATTTTTCCAACCTAATGCTAAGCCATTCTTTAGCCCATATAACCCTGGGTGTGAAAATCAGCCCAACTTCACTAACAGGGCCCAAGCCCAAGAAACCCCCTGCTAGATATGCACTCCCAATGGTTTGAAGCCCAGACCCACTGGGAGTACATTGGTTACCCTAGGACTCAACCGACTAAACCATGTCAAACCTATAAACAATCCCAACAGTATCATCATCCATCTAACTCCATGGCCCAGCAATTTTAGAGGCCACAAGTACAGAACCGATTCCAGCAGATGTACCATAGGAATCAACTAGCTCAAGTTTATCAACCTTACTCACAACCTCCTCAAGCTCATATAGTAGATGACCAATTCATGCAGGTTCAGCAGCTGATCTCAGCAACAGTCCATCGACAGACTAGAGAGCCAAATAGGACAACTGGCGAAAGCCAAGGCGAGGAGAGAAGTAGGGCAACTATCGAGTCAACCRGTTGYGAACCCTAGAAATCAGCCACCGGGTTTTCCTCCACAGCAGATTCAACCACCTCCTAGGAACCCTGAGCTTGAAAATACCAAGGCTATTATAACCTTAAGGAGTGGAAGGAGTTTAGTGGACCCATGTGAGGAAAAGAGAATTAGTGAAGAAGAAAAGGAGCAAGAAAACCATAAGTTGGGGGAGAAAGAAAAAGGAAARGAAAATCTAGAGCCTATAGTGAACCAATCCATAGTTCCCTTTCCAACTACACTCACAATCGAGCCGGTGCGAAAGAACAAAGAGACTCGCAACGA